ACTTTAGAAAACTAAAGGAAAACCAAACATAGCCTAAATGGAAAATAGTGAAAAGGCCAAGCAAGACACATTCTGTTTGTCTAGCACACATTCTTTATCCCCGGGTTCCTGAAGCCTCAGCTCAGGCCACCTTGCCTGGCTCACGTTGGCTGGTATAGATTTGGATTTGTATCCACGTGGGGCCTGGCCCAGGGATTCTTGGTTTTTGCTGGAAATGGCTTCTTTGCCCCTCTCTTCCATGGACCTCCCTCCACACCTGGCTGGACTGTTCTTCAGCATGTCAGTCACTCTAGCTACTCTCAGTCCTCACCCCTGGACACTCCACCTCTCCATGTATTCCCTGAGATCTAGGCTAGTGTGTCACAGCCTTTCCCTACCAGCGAGGTTTCTAAGACTGAGAAACCCATCCTTGGCCCTGATATAAGCCTAAACATACTGACTGCCATTGTGAAAGAAGGAAGCCAGCCCTTCCCCACGACTTACTCTCCTGCAGGCTCTGTGGTTCGCACATCAGCAGATATTACTCCATTGAATCCTCACAACAATACTTCAGATTTCACAGATGGTGAGAAAAGCTCTGGGAACTGCTGGAAGAGGAAGAACCAGGATCCAGGGCTGGTTCCTGCGAACTCTGACCCCGATGCTTTGCCACTGATATTTTCACACAGCATCTAAGTTAGGAATGGCAAAGTGGTTTCATCTGACATGTCAGTTCTGATTGACTTAGTGGCTGCCTGTAGTGCTGTGGTGAGAAGGAGTATGAGGCCACATCTGTGCTCAGTGGGAGAGACCATGATAAACTAGAAATGTCTAGCAAGGGTGATAGCTGGAGGGAGTGACAGGCTGTATATGTGCCATATACTTGCCACTGTTGGGCCAAGCCATTTTTGTGGCAGCCACATGGCTTTAGAGGCAGGCACCACTGTCCTCCAAACCTCTTTGCTTTCTATCAGTCTCCCACCACATGGAGGAGCATACCTTGGTTCACCCAGGGTTCTATTCTCAGCTTCGCTACTTAATAGCCGCATGACCTTAGGTAGGTTACTCAACCTCTTTGAGCCTCAGTTGTTTTGTCAGTAATATATAGCTAAGTATAATACTTACCTCAAAGGGTTTCAGTAAGAATCCATTGACATAAAGCTTGTAGATCACCTGCCATAATGCCATGCACAGAGTAGACATCTGACAAACATCAGTTGTTGTTGTTAGCCACCATTCTATCAAAGCCTGTAGCCCACACTATTGCATGTACCAGCTTCCTGTTTCTATGACCTGCCAAGGTAAAAAAAAATATCACCCAATCTTCACAACTGACCATACTCTCCTTCCCATGCCATGGGATATATGACAGCCCATATGGGGTCTGTGTTTGCCCTGAAATCCCATTACTCTCCACTCAACTGTTAAACATTTCAAATCCTCCTCCCCATGGGCTCCCCTCTTGTTAATGTGATTATATGTCTGGATTTTTTCATTAAGCTCTTTTTCATAGAGTGGCTGGTAAACACCTGGTAGAACATGGAATCTAATTATCATCTTAATTGGAGAAGACGAACTGGTAAATAATATGTGTTAATTATCAGGGAAAACCCTATAAAGCTTAATGAGAAATCAAAACTCATAAGCAAAGGTTCTTGGATTTCTGGACAGGTAATTCCCAAGCCTTGACAGCAACAGAGGTCAGGTGGCCATGGCCAGGCACCTACTGGGCCTTCCTTTACGTGGGCCAGAAGATTAGAGCCACTGCTCTTTCTGATACAGAAGGTAATTCATGAACCTAGTATTTTCTTTAGACATTTATTTATTTAATAAAGCATTTGTCCCTTTTTTGTTGCCGTTTTCCCTCCAGCTTTGTTGAGGTATACGTTAAGTATTTCTTAAAGGCCTTGTACTTTTCTGGTGAGTTAGGGCTGTTGTTCTCCCCACATGGTGAGAGTACTAGGCACCAACTAAACCCATTGCCAGGTTTGTTCTCCTCACCTTGGATTTCCTATTTCAAGAATGACCTGGGACCTTTCTCTCAAATGAACTCCGTATGCCTTGCTCCCGGGCTTAGCTCGCCTCTCCCACAGCTTTGGACTTCCTCCCTCATAATGTGAGAGCCCACAGTGTCCTTTAGAGGCAACTCTGTGGTAAACAAATGCTCATGTTCCCCCAGACTCCTCAACCAAGTGGACTCCTCTCTTCCCAGTTTAACTAAAACTTGGCACTTCCCTACAGACACTGTCTCTCCTCCAGGCTTCTCAACTAGTAAACACCCTTTCTTCCACCACCCAGAAATGTCTCATCAGGACCTCATGATCTAGGGGCATACAGACAAGTACTCAAACTTTTACAACCCATGTCATTAGAGCTGCACAGAGGGTAGAAAAGAAAAGGTACAGACAGGAGGGCCCAAAACCCAAACTTGGACATCAGAGAAGTATCCCAATAGAAAGCGACATCGAACTTGATAAACAAAAATGTACAGAACTTAGACAAACAAAGAAGGGGAGAAAGTTTCAACTACTTGGAAAAAAACATCGTATTTTAAAGGCACAAATCCCATCAAATTCATTCCTTGCTTAAAATCTTCAATTGTTACCCATTTTTTAAATCCATGTAACTGCAGGAGGGAACACTGTTATCCACCATTTTATCCCCACTAGGCTCAGAGTAGGAATTTGATAAATATTCGGCAATACCAAAAATTAACATAAAAATACAAAAAGAATTAACAAGACATCCATAGGTGAAACATTAAAAGCACAAAACAATGTAATTGGCTAAATTCCCTAGAAAACTATTATTTCTTCTTATAACAAAACCAGCATTTGTGTAACGCCTAGTGCAGTGTCACTTGCATAGTCGGTACTTAATAAATGTTTGTTGAATAATACATGTAGCATTTGGTAATTAAGGCACTTAAATTATAATATTCTGTAATTTTATGTCCTGTTATTCAATGTCTCCATGAAACAAACAAACAAAAAAAAAAAACTGATGTTCTTAAAGGGTAAGTAAATTTCACAAGATCTCTCAAGTAGTAAGCAGTAAAGTTACGACTAGATCTTATGGCTTCCTGTGGCAACATCTATGCTCTTTTCAAGGAGCACATAGAGTCTAGATGCATGTAAATTGTAGCATCAGGGAAGACTTCACACAGGTGAAAACTGATCTGGGTCATGACAGATCAGTAGCATTGGGATAGACCGAAAGTGCAGCAAAGCAGGATTTCCTAGTGACAGGACCTGCATGAACACAGGAATGGGAACAGGGACAACACGTGTCTTTCAAGGGACAGAAAGAATGTTGGTTCACTTTAGGCAGAGGGTCCACATCACTGCAGAAGCTTCTTATTCAAAGATCAATTGAATTCAAAGCACTGAATCCAAGTGGCAACTCTTTCTCCGTAATAATTGAACAGCATCAAATTGACTCTGATTACAGGTATCCATGGCAAAAAGGAAAAATGTTAACTTTCAGAAAGGAGAAAGTTCACCAGCTTCTCTCCTTCTACTCCAAGGCTCTGCAAGATGGTGATGCACATTTATCATGCTGGGTGTGTGTGCTCAGGTCCTAAAGTGAGTCACACACTAGTAGGACCAGAAGAAGACATCTATTTCCCCAAAGTTGTGTAAACCCACTGGAATTTATTGACACCCAGAAGGCCTTGAACAGACCTCAGAGTAGTATTATAAGCTTATCTGCCTGCAGATCCTAATAGGTTAAGAAGTTTCTGAGACAAAACTAGAGAACCAAGAAGGTGGTAGAACAAGAATTAAAGATTTCCATGAGAAGCTGGCGCTGCCTGGGGCTCAGCAACTGGTGCATGTGGCTGGGAATGGGAGCAGATGGGGGAGGGAAGTGGATACCTTCTGAATAAGCATGCAGAATTTGTTGGAGCTCATAAATGTCTAAACTGATATTCCATGTCAGTTGCATTTACACTAGCTTCTTCTCAATTTTGAATAATTTCTTTATGCTTTATAGGGAAACTAAGACTTTCCTGGCACTAAATTTTTTAAGCTTACATTTCAGTGATTTTATATTTTATAACTTTGACTTCCGTATTATCCAAGCCGTACTTGCACACAGATAAAGTATGGCATAAACTGCAGTAGAGCAAAAAAGAAAGAACGAAATTCATCTGCAATCCCAGCACCGAGAGATAAGTATAGTCCACTGGGTATGTATTTTTCCAGAATCTTTGCATAATTTTTAAAATAAAAATAAGATCAAACTGTGCATACAATTTTATTTTATTTTACTAATGTATTTATATATTTTAGAGACAATGTCTCCCTCTGTTGCCCAGGCTGGAGTGTACTGCCCTGATCATAGCTCACTGCAGCCTCGAACTCCTAGGCTCAAGCAATCCTCCTGCTTCAGTCTCCTGAGTAGCTGGGACTATAAGCACATTAGCTAGCTGCCATGCCTAGCTAGTGTTTTTGGCTTTTGTAGAGATGGGATCTCACTATGTTGCCAAGGCCGGCCTCAAACTCCTGGTCTCAAGCCTTCCAAAGTGCTGGGATTACAGCCATGAGCCACCGTGTCCAGCCTGTATATTTTATATTATATATATGCTGATTTTTTTTGCAAGACTCTCCAATATGCTGATTTTTAATTTCACAGTATAACATTTAGCATCTGTTCACATCAATAAATAGTCATCAGCAGCATTGTTTTTATAGTCATACAGTGTTCTATTGTATTGGTGCCACTGGTAACCCATTGTTTGACATCTAAGTTGTGTCCAATCATCAGATATTATAACCATAAATGATGCTTTGGTGAGTCTTTGCATGCATCCTGAATTATTCCCTCAGGGCTGCTTGCCCCTTTCCAGCTTCTCCCTGCTTAGAGGCGCTTCACTCTTGCTCCTCTTTGTGGCCAAACGGAACGTCTTTGGGTTTTCTGAACTTGTCACACCCTGTTTGTCTCTGTGCTTTTGTACATCCTCATTCCACTGCCTAGCACACTTTGCACTGACTAAGCGTCCTTGTCCATTCATCTTTTAGATCTCAACAGAGACATCACTTCCTCAGATGAGTTTCCTCTGACACCCACCTCCAGCACAGACCGAGTCCTCTGCGCCTCTTATGTCACCACCGTCACCCGCGCTTCATTCTGGTAGGGCAGGAAGCGGCCTGTATTGTAGCATCCTGTTGGCCCGTCTTTTTCCTTCAGTAAAGCTGTAATGTCCGCAAGGCTAGAAACCGGGTCTGCCATGGTCAGTGTACCCAGAACAGTGCCCAGCACATGATAGGTACTCCATGAACATCTGTTTAACCATCAATAAATGCCTTCCTCACTATAAAACTGCTGCATCAAAGGCATGCCCTTGTTAAGTCTTGTGACACACACTGCTCCCTGGAAAAGCCTTGCCTCTACGATTTACCTCTCCTCCCACAGTGTGTGAGGGTGCACATTTCCCCACATCTTGGATAGTCTTGCAAAAAATTCTGAGAAGACTTTCTTTCCATGGGGCTTTATTTAAGGAGCATCGACTAGAATGATGTGCAGTGGGTTATTCAGGAGTCTCAACGCAGTGGGGTATAAACATGAAAATTAATTTTTTCTAGTCACTGCTTTCTGCTGTGTTCTGTCAAATCCCTTTTCCCCATCACTTGATATTTTGGGCAGAAAGTGAATAAATATTCCTGTCACTTTCAGTTACTAAAAACTCAGTCCATTCCATTTAAAACTCCAAATTCATATCTGATTCAAAGCTCTTCCTTTTGTCAATGCCCCAAACCCCAGGAAGACTGTGGCTTTAGGGACTTGGTGGTGGGGGAGCAGCATGGTCTCCTCCTTCACTTCTCCTCCTCCTCTTCCTCCCTCCTCTGGGTCTAGCAGTTCTAGACTTGGGGGCAGGAAGAAAGGATGGGGAGGCAGGAGGCATCTCAGCATGGTCGAGGGTCTGTGGTGGTGAGGAGGCATCTCTGATCTCAGCCTGGCTCAACCTGGCTCTGTGGGAGGTTGGTGGACCCCACTGAGTGGCAGTCTCCATATGGAGGGTGGGGTCTTTTTATGAAGCAATGTTCAACTCAACCCGGCTCTCCTCTCCTAGAAGGACCCACTTGAAAAGGAGGTGGTAATGCCCCCCTTCAACATGCGCTGTGCCCCCCTCTCTCTGAGTGGTGTCTTCCCGACTTACTCTGGCAACCAGCTGGACAGCCCACAGCTCCTGCCATTCCATTCCATGCCCCTTGTGTGGAACCACAGGCAATGCTCTGGACTTCCTCTGGGTTCTCCAAGGGCTTCTGAGACCCAGGATGGGATAACCCCAGTGCTTCTTTGCCAGGCCCTCTGCAGCCCCTTTGCCCTCCACTGGCATGGGCCATCTCCACAGGCCTCTTAGAGAGTCTCTAGAGCAGAGTGCCAGTGCAGTGGTCTCTGTGATCATGTGTGTCTTCCCATGGGGAGATAAGGGAATTGCCCCCACCAACAACACTGTAAGATTGCAGCTCTGGTGCCATCTCCCCATACCATTCCCTAGTCCTCACTTGATATCTGCAAGAGTGAGAAGCAGAAGGCAGGATGGAGAGTGGCTTGAAGGGGGCAGGTCAGTTCTGCAACCTGTGGTTTACAAACCACATTGCCAGGACATGTTAGCCCTGCTCCTGGGCAGCTGTCTTTAGAATGCAGGCTTCCTCAGTGCCTCTTCTTCTCTGCTTTGGTTTGGGCCTTAGCCACAATTCTGGGACACCAGAAAAATCCCCCTCATTATTTTGCTGCAGATTTAACAGTCATGATCCTCAACAGTATGGTTACGATAACTGCAGAAATAGATTGCACATGGCTATTTCTTGTAGCAGCACTGGATAAAAGCTAAGGGCAAGACTAGGCAATTTGGATTAAAAGGAAAATAGCCACATTAAGCAAGAGAGACAGAGCCCAGAGCCCTGTAGTGAGGAGTGAGGGAGGGTGCAGAGGGGACAATGAGTTGAGTAGGCGTTTGTGTGCCTCTGGGGCCTAGAGAGTCAAGAGACCTCTCTGTCCATTTTTGTCCACTGTCGGGGGCAATTGGATGCCTCTTGCAAAGCAGGAAGGGAGAAAGGGACCCCAGTGAAACCCTCTTACCCTGCCTCAGTCCTCCAAATGTCACATCTATCTGAGCTGATACTCTGACCGAAGCTCCTCCCTCCTCACTGTCACTGGCCAGAACAATCCTTATATTCATTTCCCAGAGCCTGAGCTATTACAGATGACTGAATAGGTGCGGAGGTGCCCGTAGATTGAGAGAGGGATGGCCAGGGATTGTTTCCAGAACCCAGCATCCATGAGAAAAAGCAGCTTGGATAGGATCTCAATGAATAAATCACAGTGCGAGGCCCTCCCAGCTCTCTGGCATGGTCTGTTGAAATAAGATTCTCACTACTGCAATTACAGTCAGAGTGTGGGGAGCCTTGGGATTCATTAGTTTTGACTTCAGCAGCATTGATTTCTTGTTTAGTAATTAGCTCACCAGGGCCCCTGATGGCATAATCTCTTCATTTACATAATTAAGACATAAATCTTGAGCCTGGATAGTAGCCAGGGCACTGGGGACTGGACACCAAGGGCAGCAGGTGGTTGACAGCTTGTATTCCCAGTACCACATTCTCACCAGCTGATCTCATTGGCCTCTGTGACTTCAATGGGCAAAACTTCTTAGATACATATTTTTGAAGACTCATGCCAAGGAAATCAATCCATTTAAACTAGGTTTAGAGAAAGGCTGTGATGATTTTAAAATACGCTCATAATTCCTTTGACATGTCTTCCTTCACAGGTGGAAGCTAATTCCCCTTCCTTCCAATGTGGGCCAGATTTAATACCATGCTTCTAATGAGCAGAATAGGGCAGAAGTGATGGTGTATGATTTCGGAGTTCAAAAGGCATCACTGCTGCCACATCCATCTCTCTCTCTCTCTTATTACTTGTTCTAGGGAAGCTGACTGCCATGTTGTGACGATACTCAAGCAGCCTGTGGAGAGCCAACATTGGGGAAACAGAGGCCTCCTATTGAGGGCCAGCACCAACCTGCCAGTCACACAAATAAGCCCCCTTAAAAGCAGATCCTCCAGCTCCAGCCAAACATTCAGATGACTGCAGACCTGGCTGACTTGATTACCACCTCAAGAGAGACCCCACATCAGAAACACCCAGCTAAGCCACTCTCAAATTCCCGACCCACAGAAACTGTGAGGATAATAAATGTTTATTGTTCTTTTAAGCCACGAATTTTAAGGTAATCTGTTACACACAATCAATAACTAACCCAGAGGGCATTTCTCATTCCAATGCTGCTTCCGCAAGGAAGAAATGGTCCGATATCAAGACCAAGATAACTGAAACTGTTCATATTCTTGACCCAGCAATTTCTGTTGTAAGAATCTATCTTATACAAATATATTTAAAATGTAAACACGCACACAAATATGCAAAATGCTTGTGTAAATGTGTTCATTGCAGCATCCTCTGTAATAGTAAAAATGGAAAGCAATTAATGTTTTCATTAATAGAGCTCAATTAAATAAATTATGGAGAAAATGGAATAATTCTATGTAAGCATTAAAAAACTGAATTAACAATAAAAAATTAAATTCTATATAAGCATTAGAAAAGTTGAATTAATAATAAAAAACAAAATTCCTGCACTCCAAGTCCAGACGGTTTAACCAGTGGGTTTACCAGCGATTTATGAAAGGAATACTCAAATATTTATACAAACAGTCATGAGGAATTTAAAAAATGAAAGAACACTTCTCAACTTAAGCAATGACTTTGACTCCAAACCCTGATGGAAATCTGGGAGAAAATAGAAAGTATTGATCTACAACCATAGGTGCAAAAATTTTCCAAAAAAATGTTAGAAGCTAACGTAACCATAAATAAATAGAGTTTAATGCAGAAATGCAAGGCTGATTCAGCCTTAGAAAAAAATCAAAGTGATTTGCCTTATTAATAGGAAGAGGAAAAAATTATATGATTATCACAGTACATGTAGAAAAATCATTTCATAAAATGCAACTTTCATTTATAATTTTAAGGAATAATCTCTTAGCTGAATCGAAATAGAGAGGGTGCTTTCTTAATGTACTAAAGAATATCTATAAAAATAAATACAGGGCAGAGACATGTGATCTAACAACAGCAGTCCAACATTGTGCTAGAGATCATCTCCAGTGCATTAAGGCAATACAAACAAATAAAAAGTATGAAGACTGTAAATAAAGAAGTAAAACTATCGCTATTGACTGACAACATTATTGTGCACCTGGAAAATCAAAAGGAATTTTTATTTAAACTATTAGCATTAATAAGAGACTTTGGTAAGTTTGCTGGCTATAAAATTAATAGTTTTAAAAACAATGGGCCGGGCGCGGTGGCTCAAGCCTGTAATCCCAGCACTTTGGGAGGCCGAGACGGGCGGATCACGAGGTCAGGAGATCGAGACCATCCTGGCTAACACGGTGAAGCCCCGTCTCTATTAAGAAATACAAAAAACTAGCCGGGCGAGGTGGCGGGCGCCTGTAGTCCCAGCTACTCGGGAGGCTGAGGCCGGAGAATGGCGTAAACCCGGGAGGCGGAGCTTGCAGTGAGCTGAGATCCGGCCACTGCACTCCAGCCTGGGTGACAGAGCGAGACTCTGTCTCAAAAAAAAAACAAAAAAAAAAAAAACAACAAAAAAAAAAACAATGATATTTTTGTATATCAGCCACTAACAGAAAATACAATTTATAAAAGGAACCTTTCATAATAGCAACAAAAAAAAAATAGCAGTACATAGGAATCCAGCTATCTTCCATTAAGCTAGACATTAATGGGTTTTGCAAAAATTTAAGACAATGTCAGTACTCTCTGTGTGATGAATCTTTAAATCATCATTGGGAGAACTAACATCTTTACAATATTGAGTCTTCTAATCTATAAATGGGATATATAGCTCCAGTTATTAAATCTTTTTAATGTCCTTCAATGAAGTTACAGAGCTTTCTTTGTAGAAGCCTTCTCCTTCTTAGATATTTTCTTGATATTTTTTGATGCTACACGGAATACTTTTAAAAAGTACTCAAGTCAAGATTCAATATAATTAATAACTTTTCCTGCTTATTAATGAACATTTTTTTCTTTTCCAGATGGAGTCTTACTCTGCTGCCAAGGCTGGAGTGCCGTGGCACAATCTTGGCTCACTGCAACCTCCACCTCCCAGATTCAAGCGATTCTTCTGCCTCAGCCTCCCAAGTAGCTGGGACTACAGCCATGTGCCACCATGCCCAGCTAATTTTTGCGTTTTTAGTAGAGGCAGGGTTTCACCATATTGGCCAGGTTGGTTTCAAACTCCTGACCTCATGATCCGCCTGCCTTGGCCTCCCAAAGTGCTGGGATTACAGGCGTGAACCACCGCACCTGGCGTTAAAGAACTCTCTTAAGTGAAATTGGCATTTTTTAAACTGTGGCACATTGTGGTGGATAATATGATGACTACTAGTACAGCCTGGTACCACGACCTTGATTCATGCTAAGGCATCAGCAGTTTTGCCACCACTGTTTTTGCACCATCAGTGCAACTGTCAACTTGGTGAAAAGAGCAAACAATGTCTTATAAAAAGTTTTCATCTCACGAATGTCTTAGGGATCCCTAGAGGTAGCACATGTACTTCGAAAACCACTGCTGCAGAAAAATGAACGCCCATGTGCACCAGGAAACATCCATAAGAATGTTTGCAGAACATTGCTTAAAGTAGCCGTGAACTGGAAATAACCTGAAAGTTCTTTGGCTATAGAATTGATAAATGAACTATTCTTACCAATGAGAATTAATAAATAAGCTGTACTCACCAATACCAATAAAAATAAAATTGTTGGCATTGCAGGTATGGCGATTCATGCCAGTAATCCCAGCGCTTTGGAAGGCCAAGGTGGAAGGGTTGCCTGAGCACAGGAGTTCAAGACCATGCTGGGCAACATAGCAAGATCTTGTCTCTACCAAAAAAAAAAAAAAATTTTAATTAGTTGGGCACAGTGGTGTATACCTGTAGTCACAACTATTCAGGAGGCTGAGGTAGGAGCCTGGCTTGAGCCCAGGAATTCGAGGTCTCATTGAGCTGTGATTGCATCAGTGCACTCCAGCCTAAGTGCAGACTAACAGACTGAGACCCCAACTTAAAAGAAAAATGATAATTGCTAACCACTATATGAAACAGTATGCAGTAATACCACAAGCAAGAAGTCCCTGCTGGTGGCACCTGGACGGCACATCTGAGGCCTCAGGTGTTCCTAGGGATTATGAAGAGAGAGAACAGGCTTTATTCTCCTTAGATCCAGACAAGAGTCAAGTTTCCAGCAACAGAGGACCAGATTTTTATTTCCTTGAGCCTGGAGAAAAGATGAAGATTTTTTATGGTTTTCAGAGAGGTAAGGTGAGCTTAGCCAGCAGAATATGGTGAATCTGCTTGGAGAGGGACTGTAGCTGCCTGTGTTATTTGGTTCTAAAAAGGAGAATTTATCCAATCCTGCTGTTTCTGATCATCCAGGAGGACAAGTGCACTGGTGGAATTTCTCCAAGGACTTTATATTAGTAGACTTAGGTGCAAGAAAATATCCCCTCAACCTTTAACAGAAGATAATGAATTATCTGTTCAATAATCTCTGATTCAAATAGGCAGATATCATTGCGTGTTCCACTATTTGTCAATTTAACACCATCAGTAGAATCCCCACCAACCTGCCCTCTGTGAAGATGAAGGAATTGTAAACCATGAGAAGGCAAAGCAATATTACAAATCTTTTAAGGGCACTCTGGAAGGGCTGATGGATGAGACATATGAGAATATTAATTTTAAAAAGTGGTGAGGGCAGTCAAGGAGACACAATGTGAGCACAAAGGGATGTTCAAAAGCTAACAACAAAACAAGAAAACCCTAAATATTTAATAGATTAAAGTAAACTGAGGAGCAGGGAACTCACTACTGAGAATCACATTGGAGATCTAGGAAATCAAGGGAAATGCTTCAAGGAACAGAACCAAGGCACAAAAACGAATTAATAAAAGAAGAAGATCATCAGCTTGGAAAAAAATCTGGGCACCTAATAAGCAAAAAATAGAAGATTCAGAAGGAGAAGAGAGGAACGAATGAAGAAGACAATTTCTCCTGAGCTTCAGATAGACTTGAATTCGCAGATTGAAAGCATATAGAAAATTCAACTCAAGACTGATGAAAATAGATTCATACCTATAAATAACCTAGTGAAATTCCTAAAATATAATATTGAAACTTCTCATAGGGCGAAAAAAACATTAGCAGTTTCCAAATTGGGTAGGTAGGGAGTAGGAAACATGCATGAAAGAGAATCAGACTAGTATAAGATTTCTCATTTGCAACGCTGCAATTAGAAGGCAGCAGAAATTAGCTGGGCATGGTGGCACACGCCTGTAGTCCCAGTTACTCAGGAGGCTGCTTGAGCCTGGGAAGTTGAGGTTGCAGTGAGCCATGATTGCACCACTGCACTCTAGCCTAGGAGACAGAGTGAGACCTTGTCTCGAAAAAAAGAAAGAGAGAGACAGAGAGAGAGAGAGAGAGAGAGAGAGAGAGGAAGGAGGGAAGGAAGGAAGGAAGGAAGGAAGGAAGGAAGGGAGGGAGGGAGGGAGGGAGGGAGGGAGGGAGGAAGGAGGGAGGGAGGGAGGGAGGGAGGGAGGGAGGGAGGGAGGGAGGGAGGGAGGGAAGGAAGGAAGGAAGGAAGGAAGGAAGGAAGGAAGGAAGGAAGGAAGGAAAGCAGGCAGCAGAGTGACAACTGTTCTAGAAACCACCAAGGTTCATCTTGAGAGAGATAGATATGTGGAAGTATGCAAATAATGGAAAAATGATTTTAGTGTCATAGTAGAAGTTATCAGTGCAATTATGACTGTTAGGAATGGGAGCATAATCAACAACAAAATCAGAAAGCATAATAAAACATCACAATGAACAGGAATAAGAAAATAAGCAGAAATTCAACTAGACCAAATATATGAATATTCCTGCATTTGCCTTCCCAATATTCATTTCTCCCTTCTTCTGCTAACGTTACCCAGATGTTCTTTTCACTCAACAAACAATAATGCAGCACTTGCTATTGGTACCAGGTGCTTTTCTAAGTTTTTCACAAATATTAACTTTTTTAATCCTCCTAATAGTTCATTTTACTAAGAGGGACAAAAAGAAGGTGGAAATAGGCACTTGACCCAAGATGAACAAACTGTGAGCGCTTTATTGAATGTTCTGCTTGAAATATTGTTAAAAAGATACTTTCTTGGCCGGGCACGGTGGCTCACGACTGTAATCCCAGCACTTTGGGAGGCCAAGACGGGCAGATCACGAGGTCAGGAGATTGAGACCATCCTGGCTAACACGGTGAAACCCCGTCTCTACTAAAAATACAAAAAAAAATTAGCCTGGCATGGTGGCGGGCACCTGTAGTCCCAGCTACTCGGGAGGCTGAGGCAGGAGAATGGCGCGAACCCGGGAGGCGGAGCTTGCAGTGAGCCGAGATTGCGCCACTGCACTCCAGCCTGGGTGACAGAGCAAGACTCCGTCTAAAAAAAAAAAAGATACTTAGATACTTTCTTTTCCCTGGGATTCCTAAGCAGATGAAATCTAAGGCTGGACTTGCTGGTGATCAATCTTCAATCTTTGCTTTCCCACAGGGAGAACTTGTCTGTGTCTGAAGCTAGAAGAGGAAGATATCTAAACTTCAAATATATCCCTGATGGTATCACTTAAGCACTTGGGTTCAGCCTTGCCTGGTTCCACCTTTTGGACTTTCCATATTTCAGGCACCAATTACTGCTTTTGGTTAAAAGTTGGGTTCATCATTTGCAACAGTAGTCTTGACTATATTGTCAGTGAAATTAGAGAAAAGTAAAAAGAAGAAAATGACAACAGAAAATAAACTGCAAATGTAAAAAACATTTAAAATAAGTAATATGAAATAAAATGCACTGTGAAAACAATAATATGAAATGTAACGCACTAAATGTAAATTGCCTAAATTTTCCTATTAAAATACAGAGATTTTAAGACTGAATTTTAAAATACATTCAGTTAAATTTTGATGAATAAATATGCAGAAAATATGATGACAAAGAAAACTTGAAATGGTTGAAAATAAAATATCAGGCAAATACAAGCAAAAAGAAAGGCAGTCATGGCAACAATAATATCAAACAAAATGGAATTAAGATCTGGGACAAAAACAGAACAGTTATAATGATAAAAGGCATAGTCCATGAAGAAGATATAATAATCATTAAGTTACTGGTACAAACAACATAGCAGTCAAATCTGAAAATTTTTTTGACTCCTATAATAATAAGAAAAACTAAAATAATGGAATATTTTAAAATATTTATTTTAAATTTGATGGACCAAGTAGAAAAAAAGTAACAACGATAAAAAGGATTTGAATAATATAATCAAAAGGATTTGACAGTTCTAGATACATAAAACATACATTATTTTATGTCAGTTGAAAATTTGCGAAAGTGCATCATGTACTTGGGACAAAGAAAAGCTTAATAAATTCCCAAAATACCTTATAGCAGACCACACACTCAGAAAATCAACTATTAGAAATCTGAAAATCAACAATTAAGAAACTTCCCCTTCTAAGCCAAAACACCTAACAATGTAACAACTACTTGAAAGCAAGGAACACTTTTGTGTTTATAATTTCAAATATATCTGGTTGCTTCCTTAAATAATGATTGTATTTACATTTTAAATAAATAATGCTACATATCAAAAGTTATCCAGCACAGCTAAATTCATACTCCCAGAAATTTACAGTCTTAAATCTCTCCTTTTATTGTTAATTAAAATAAATAATAAATTGGTTAAGTGTTAAATTCTAAAAATTAGGATGTGTGATAACAAAATAAACCAAAAGAGACTAGAAAAGATATTTTAAAAAGATAAATGTTTAAATTAATGTAATGGAAAACAACAATGGAAATAAGAAGAGTAAACAAAGCCCAAAAGCTTGTTTTTAAGAAAAAAAATCATGAAACAGAATATCTCTGTGTAGATTAAGGAAAAAAGAAAAAATATATATATACATATATATATACAATATTGGGAATGAGAAGGGGATATAATCACAGATATGCAAGATATGTAATAATATTATATGCAATAAATGTGAAACTCTAAAGGAAATGATGATTTTTCTGGTCAAATAATAACTATCAGGCCAGGTGCAACAGCTCATGCCTATAGTTCCAGCACCTTCAGAGGCCAAGGTGGGAGGATCACTTGAACCCAGGAATTTCAGATCAGCCTGGGCAGCATAGTGAGACTCTGTCTTTAAAAAAAAATTTTTTTTTAATTAGCCAGGCATGACAATATCTGCCTTTAGTCCCAGCTACTCAGGATGCTGGACCAGAGAATGACTTGAGCCCAGAAGTTTGAGGTTACAGAAAAGCACCAGATATTTGTGGAAAAAATACTAAAAACTCAATGATATTATAGGGAAAGAGAAAAAGATGAATATATTTAACTATATAAGAATTTTTTCCCTAGATTGTAACAAAGACATTTGTAACAAAGACAATATGTGCAAAGTGAAAAAGAAATGATACAGGGAAGATATCTAGAATGATATGTTAAAGAGCTAATGTCCTTAACAGGCAAAGAGGTCTTACAAGCTGATAAGATAGACCAACAGTCAAATATAAACATGGGCAAATGATAAGAACTGGCAATTCACAGAAGAGAAAATTAGATGACCAATAAACTTTCAATCTCATTGTGTTATGGAAATGCAAATTAAAGTGGGTATGAGACATCGCTTTCACTCATTAGATGGGCAAAATTTAAATATATTTGTATTTTATATATAATATAAATTATATAAATATAATATGTTATGTAAATTTAATATAATATTAAATATACTTTTTTCTGATACCGTCGTCTGTTTTCAAATCTCAAATTACTCTGTAAACTTTGGCAAATCACTATTCTTTCTGTGCCTAAATATCCTCATCTGTAAAATAAGGGTAGAAGTAATGCCTACTTCACAGGACTGTTTGAGGAACAAAAAGCACTTAGAACAAGTAAAGTGCTGAGAACAGTGCACACAGAATAGGCAGCTAATAAAGTTAGCCCTCATTACTAACAACAGGCCAGGAAGTGGAGTGATGATCACTCTCATTCATTACTCGTGAAGCTGTAAGTTTCTGCTAGCATTTTAGACAGTCAACTGGCAATATATATTAAAATTTTTAAATACACTTACATGGAGAATGAGGTCAGGAATTATCTGGAAAGGGGCATCAGCAAACTTTCTGAAATAATGGTAATGTTCTGTACCTTGATAAAAGTTTGGATTACACCTGTGTTTGCATTTGTCAAAAGTCCCAATGTTTAATAAGATTTAAGCATTTTATTGTATGTAAATTTTAATTTAAAAAGTAACAAATATAGAAATCTGCTTAATGACACAATTGCTGAAATGCTTAGGGGGAATGTATACTGATGTCCAAATGTTTTTCTGAAATGTATCACAAAATAAGTTGGTTTTATGGGTTGAATAGTCCCCTGCCGTGTCTCCTGCCAAAAAAAAAAAATTCTTATGTTGAAGTTTTCATCTCCACTACCTCATAAGCGACTTTGTTTGGAGATACAGTCTTTGCACAGGTCATCAAGTTAAAACGAGGTCATTAGGATAAGCCCAAACCCAATAAGAAGAAATTTGGACACAGAGACAAACTTAGAATGAAGATTGTGTGAAGAGATGCAGGGAAAAGATAGCCATCTACAGCCAATGGCAGATGCTGGGACAGATCTTGTTTTATAAGCCTCAGAAGGGACCAGCCCTGCTGGCCTCTTAAATTTGGGCTTCTAACCTCCAGAACTGAGACAATAAATTTCTATTTCTTAAGCTACCCAATTTATGGTACTTTGCTACAGCAGCCCTAGCAAACTCATGCAGCTAGTTTGATGGATGGTTAGAGGTTTAGATAGATAGACAGATAAGTAATAAAGCAAGTTTAATAAAATGTTAATGATCGGTAGAATCAAGGTGCTGGGTTTATGAATGTTCGCTGTGAAATTCTTTCAACTTTGCTGCATGTTTGAAATGTTTTAAATGTTGGCAGGAAAAGAAAGCATTACAAAATGTTCTCTTAGAACAAAGAAAAGTCAACTCTTACAAACTATTGCTCCTTTTCTAGAAGTTCCATGATTCTATCATTCCACAGAAGAAATCAAACACCTTCACATGAGCAACCAGCACAGCAACAATGGCATTTAACAGGCACAGACGCAGCCTTACATCTTGACTCAGAAATTACACTTTGGAGACTCTTTTATAAAAATACAAATACCGGCCAGGCACGCTGGCTCACACCTGTAATTCCAGCACTTTGGGAGGCCGAGGTGGGTGGATCACCTGAGATCAAGAGTTCAAGACCAGCTTAACCAACATGGTGAAACTCCATCTCGACTAAAAATACAAAAATTAGCTGGGTGTGGTGGCAAATGCCTGTAATCCCAGGTACTTGGGAGGCTGAAGCAGGAGAATCACTTGAACCCAGGAGGTGGAGGTTGCAGTGAGCCAATACTGTGCCACTGCACTCCACCCTGGGCAACAAGAGTGAAACTCTGTCTCAAAAAAAAAAAATATATATATATTATATATGTACATAAGTATGTATTTGCTTATTTCACTATTGTCTGTAATGACCAAAAAGAAAAAGAAAAAAACTGGAAACCAAGTGACTATCCATTAGCAGAAGATTGGTTGACTAAATTGTGGTTCATTTGTGAAATACCATCTTGCTGTTGTTTGAATGAGTTAAACCTACTGTATATTGTTTGATCCACACTCTTAGCCACCGCCCAATACTGCGTCCCAACAAAACCCATATTAGAAAGAATATTTCACTTTTACAATCAAGGACTAATACAGACATAGTTTTAAAAGATGAAAGAAACAGGTCATCCCTCTGCTGAGACTCTTGCTGTAGTCTAGTGGCCTTACTCTCCAGGCACATTCCTGCACCCCAGCCATTTAGAAGAGGGAGACTAGGCACCCAGGACTAGCCAGAACTGCCTTCTCCAAGGTCAGGCAGCAGAAACAAGGGAGGGCCCTGGAGTCAGGCCAGGTAGGCAAGCACAGGGGATAAAATGTCATCAGTTCTTCCTGACAGGTGAGCAGTGGTGGGAATAAAAGTGCAGATGGGATTTGGGTCCGGTGAAGAAACTAGGATTTGCTCATTGAAAACTCAGGTCATATGAGGCCAGCAGAACAAGGAACAGCAGTGGGTTAAGTGAGTAGGAAGACTTTGGAGCCGGAATAACCTCGGTTTGGAAATTCTGGTTGTTCCACAACCAGTGAGGCTAGGCAGCTGCCTCACCCTATTTTTGTCTTTTGTCAAATGGGAATAATGACATTTACCTCCTAGGTGTGATGAGAAGAGTACATGCAGTGATGAGTGTAAAATACACCCTGTAGATGCTCAACAGTAACTGCCATCGTTATTCGCATCTGGGTATGTATCCATTCATAGCAGATGCCCAGTAATGGCCACCAGCATCAGCATCGTCACAGTGCTTTCCTCGGCTTCCCTGGAGATAAAAAGAGAGGGAGAAGCTTTCCTCTGCCCTCCTTGCTCCCTGCTCCATAACCCCGGAACCTCCTTCTGTTTCCTCTTTTATTATCTCTGCACGCAGCTGAGGAATGCAGCCTTTAAACAGCCTAAATGGCAGGAAGCCAAGGAAGGAACCATCACAAGAGTGTCCCGGTAATAACTGGCCTTGATTCATTAATGCAAATGGTTTGTGTGTGCACTGTGCCGATGAAGACATCAGGATTTGGGAACTAAGTTTAGTTATCTCTTCCAGGGCTAAGTTTTTACTGGTGTGTGTGTGAGAGAGAGAGATGGGGAAACAGAGACAGAGAAAACACACACACAGAAACAGAGACAAAGGCAGAGCAAGAGACAGAAGGAGGGAGAGAATACTCTTTTGTTTTACCCAAGAGTGGAAGAGGGAGATAGTATCATAAAGTTCAAATGTCATTCGCAAAAACCAGAAGGTGATTACCCTCATGTTCATGCAGATCAATCCTGTAGGTATTTAGATAGAAAATGCTCTGCTCTGATTAGCTATTTGGCTCAGTCATCTAACTCTATTGTGTCATCTGAATCTGGTTAGATAGCTAGGCAGCAGGGGTGGTAGCAGTGGATTGGTAAATGTATAGAACCTGAGGATCAGAGGGTTATTTGTTCATTCCCTCCCAGACAGGGTGAGCCACAGTTACCTCCCAGACAGGAAGAAAGCTTCTTTTTAAAAGATCCTTGATATCCCTCCGATGCTGCTTGTAACTCGGACTCTTTCCAAAGAAAACAAGTCTCCCAACTTTCTTGCTCACGTGCTCGCCGCTCTCAGGATCAAGAAACTCTTCCCCTGAATTTCCATGGTGATTTTACTGCTGTGTTAAACATTCCTTCCTTGATAGAAGCAGAAAACAGGGACGTCCCTCTTCTTTGAATAAACTGTCCCTCACAGAACTGTAGGACATCTTTCTGTCTTCCATGAAAAATGTCCCAATCCCAGACTTCACAACTTTGCCCTCATCATAAACACACCTCTCTGTCCTGTCCCTGTCTCTTCCACCGCCCTTCAGACCCACTAACACAGCACAGATGACAGAGTAGGTGAAAATAGGCAGCTTGCGTGCAGGATTAGAGTTGGGGGTCATGTCTTCCGTTAACTGATGCTGAGTGCTGACTCTCCTGGTATCCACATGGGCCTTGGTCTTTGAGACTAACCTGATTCTTTTATCTCACCTGGTGTCCTGGACACCCTATTGTCTGCCTGTCATCTGTCTTTTCTTTATAGCCCTCACCTGTTTCCTCACCTGTCTATCACCTTTATTCCCTCACCTGTCTTCACCTTCAAGCCTCTGTTAGCAGCCACAGTGGCCCTGGTATGTAGTCACTGAAAATATCCCTCTCCTAGTAGGCTGGCCAGCCCGTTTCAGCTTCACCGCTTCCCTCTCATCACTTCACACTAGGAAGCTGAAGTTAGTTTGGTTTTATCTCCCTTGGCAAAATTGTAGCTCCGTGACTCCACGATTCAAGGCAGCTGCCCTGGGTTGGCCTTCTCGTTCTGTCTATTGCATAACAAGCTCCTTTGTTCCTGCCTGAGTGTCGACATTGCTTAAATGTGACAATGCTCCCTTTGTTCTTCTCCTCCCAGTGCATCCGCGTCAGCGGTTCCACACCACACCACCGTGAAAACCAAATCAGCAGAGGCCGTCTGGAAACTGATAAGTGATGCCTCAGAAACTCACCCCAGATACTAAGGAGATGCCCATTATTGGCCCCTTCTTGGCTGTCTCAGAATTGCTTTAGGGCCTTGTCACTTTGTCAGTCACACAAGTAATGAGCTGTTAGGTCTCACCTACCTCAGCCGATTTCATGGTCATTTCTGGACTCACTTAACTTTCCCTAGCAATAGATTCCCAAGCAAGACAGTGACCTGAAGAGGTCATTGGATACATCTCCAGCTTCCAGGCTAACCAACTGCCTGTCCACGGTCTAAGGTTACTGTTCCCTTCAACCTTTGTAAAGATCCTGGATGAAGGAGGTATTCTATTCCCATTTCACAGATGAAAAGAATAAGGCTTGGTGAGCACACGAGGCTAGGAAGAGGTGGCACTGGCCAGAAACCCAGATGGGGGGCTCTTTTCACTAGCTTAGAATGGCCCTGCAGAATTAGGAAGAACAGTTTAAGACTATTTTCTCTTCTGCTTCCCAGCTACCCCTGACCAGGAGTAAGAGGGCTTAAAAGAGGGCCCTTGGTCTGAGAAGTAACTGAGTCCCATGATTTAATTCTGTGAAGCAGGGTTCCTTGTGGAATGAGGGCAGAAGGTAAGCACAGCTATTGTATTAGCAGTAAAACCCCAAGATGTTGCAGAGAGCACAGTCCCTGGAAACCAGGGCTTTCCTCTCAATGTCCTAGTATGGGGGAAAGAGAATAGAAGCACTGGTGAAATACTAACTCACAAGTCTCCAGCCCAAGCTGCAGCTCCCCATCGAGGTCTTCTAGACAGGGAATCAGCCCCGCAGAGGAGTCTGGAATTGCAGGTGATGATTCCAAGTCTCCCTTGCTAAAATTGCTGGCTTCCCACAGATTTGGATCCCACAACTTAGCTGCCTCACTCTGTGAGATGAGACTCCCTGAGTTTGGTTGGGAGCAGGTCCCCCTCCCTAAGCTAAAGAATTGTCAGGGGCAGTGATATACTTTGGATGTTTGGCCCTCCTCACCCTGCACCCCGACAATCTCATGCTGAAATATAATCCCCAATGTTGGAGATGCGGCCTGGTCAGAAGTGTCTGGATCATGGGAACGGACCCCTCATGAATGGCTTGGGCCATCCCGTTGGTGATAAGTGAGCTCTCACTCTGAGTTCATATGAGAACCGGTCTTTTTAAAGTGTGTGGCACCTTCCCACTATACACACTCACTCTCTCTCCCTCCCATTTTTGCCAGGGGAGGTGACTGCTTTTGCTTCAGCTTCTGCCATGAGTAAAAGCTTCCTGAGACCTCCCCAGAAGCAGATGCCAGCACCATTCTTCCTGCACAGCTTACAGCACCATGAGCCAATTAAACCTCTTTTCTTATAAATTACCCAGTCTCTGATATTTCTTTATAGCAACACAAGCACAGCCTAATACAGGGGGTTACCTCCCCCATTTTCACCTCCAGCTCCCTAACATGACTGTTGATGTCCTGATGGAACATGCAGGTTTGGGGGCTGGTTAGGCTGGTAGGTCTTTTTCTTTCCTTTTTTGTTTGCCATTAGCAACAAGAACTGCTCCCATAGCCACGTTCTCTCTCTCTCTCTCTCTCTCTCTCTCTCTCTCTCTCTCAGCACTTGGAGAAATGCATGGAAACAGGGTCTCCAGCCCTTCAGCCACTCCTACCCCTCCCACCCACCAAAGCACTGCCTGTTCTCCTGTTTGGCAAGAGCATAAAACCAGGCTGACTGGGACTTGCAAGCTTTAATCAGAGAAGGTGGACTGGGGAGGGAGGTGGAGACCTGGGTGGGGTGGGGGGTGGACAGGAGAGATAAAGAAGAGGAGAAAGCATTGTTGAGGAAAAAGTAGGGGAGGGAAGAAGGAAAATGGAATAGAGAGAAGGGGGATACTGACTGATAAAGGAAGGAAGGAGTAAGATGGGAGAGAAGGACAGATAATAACGAGCGCTGTCTGTGGGAGCGCCATTTGTTTCAGAGCTGGGTTGTGCATGTTTCTGGCCCCATGCTCATGCAGGACTGGCTGAAGCTGACAATGGTTTTCCTGGGGGTGACCCAGGCTGAGCAGCAGAAAATAGAAACTGTTCTAATAGTAATGATAACATTAATAAATAAAAGAGACTAATGTCGAGGGTAATTGGGTTGCGAGAAAAACCTCGCTGCAGTGAGAGAGAAGCCATTTCACTGCCCATTTGACTTCAATTGGTGTCTAGTGAAGGCATTTTAAATGCCTTAGAAATGTAGTGTTTTTAAGCTAGGACAAACCTCGGGCATCTTAGGGGTTGTTTAACCCCCTCATTTTACAGAGAAGGCTCAGAGAAACTAAATTATTTTCTCAACACCACTCAGCAAGTAAACAACAGACACTGACCTGGGGGAATCTTGGCTTCCAATTGGAGAAGCAGCTTCATAGAGCTGAGAGTGTGAGGTCTTTGGAGTTAGCTCTGAGTTCCAATCTGGTCCGGCCCCTCTGGCCCAGCAGGAGAGGCTTTCTCCTTTAGAGTTTCCTGTAAGGGAAGAGTTTTGAGAAATATTGCAATAGAAAAATGAATGTTTCTCCTTTTTTCAACGCGAGTCTTGGTCAAAAAATGCACTCCCTTGAGTGTAGCAGGCACAATCTCTCCTCATGGTGTTGAAGGCACCACAAGGACAAGAACTCTCTAGATTAGCCCAAGATCCCCAAAAACCACAGGTCAGAGGGCATTCTGGATCTTTCAGTGAGAAGAACATATTATAAAGTATTCCACCCCACAACGGGGACTGGACCCTTTTGCCCAAGTTACGTGATGCTTTACCAAGGTTTTCCTTTTCCTTTCCTCATCCCAGGTCTATTCCCATCCCTCCCCATCCATCCGCTTCACAGTGTAGGCCCGCACTGTCCAATATGGTAGACACTCACTAACGTGGCTATTTAAATTTAAATTCATTAAAATTAAATAAAATGTAAAATTCAGTTCCCTGTACTTGAAGAGTGATGTGAAGCCAGTGACTACCATATTGGACAACACAGTACTGAACATTTCTATTACTACAGAAAATAATAATGAATATTAATGGTATAGGCCCACTTCTGTGGTTTGGTTGTTATGTTTATCTTAATAGTTTCCACTAAAAATTGCTACAAGCCCAGGCATTGGCTGGTTTGCAGATCCCTGAACTTGAGGACAGCATTGCTTCACATTCCTTCCTGACTGCTCGTTGACTGTTTGTTGAGGGCACTGCAGGTGCGTGCCCCTGCGAGCGGGTCCTGTGCCTCCCTCTGGAGTAGCAGAGTAGGAAGGGGTAACTCCTTGCTGCCTGTAGTGTACTGACTTGCTGATGTCTTTCTTTCTTCATCTTCATCCCTGACTTTCTCTGTTACTTCCCCATGTCCCTGGTGACTGCAGGTTAAATGGCTTGACCAGTTCTTCAAGCTCCAAGGACCTGCCGGGTTGATCTCATCATGGGGTTGGGGCATGGGATTGATCACCAAATTCCTAACTGACTCACCCCTCCTCCCCACTTTTCTACTTTCCCTTTCCTCACCAAGACTACAATTTCCAGTCCAATATATGTGCTAACAATGAGAGATCAGCCACAGCTACCTGCAAGTTGGAATCCCAAGACAAAAGCCCAGACTCATGTTTCCAGGCAATTACTGGTTTCTCCTAGAAAGAAAGGAAAGGAGAGATAGGGAGGAGGAAAGAGCTTCCTCAAGTGCTGTTTATTTTGCCAACTGAGTGAATGGAAACAAGACTAGTGGAAGATCATACCCACCAATTTCCTCAACCATACAGAATGCTCATCTGTCTTGGCTTCTTTAGTTCTTCTTCCCAGCTAAAACTCCTTCTGCTTGCTCAGATGTCTTATTTGTTCACTCATTCATTCACCTACTCATTTTTCTAACCAAAGATTCTGATTTCTGCCTATCAGAAACACCTGGTGAGTCTTTTTCAAAGCACACAAGCCCAAACAATAGCCCAGACAAACCAAATCTGAGTTCATGAATGATGGGATGAGGGCAGGGAGGGAGGGGCACAGAGAGTGGAAGGGGAATAGGGCCTGGGCTTGTATGTTTTGCCAAACATTCTTGAGTTATTCTGTTGTTGGTTCTTGGGTAGGAAGCCCTTCATTCATTTATTCCTTTCTTCGTCACTCATCCAGCAAACATCCCTTGAATGCCAAGGATACGTTAGCTGATGGGTAGAAAATGGAGCCAAGGTTCAAATGCATAGGTTCTCAGGCTTGGCTACACAACAAAAATACCTTGAGAATTTTGAATATCCTGATGCCCAGGTCACGTTCCAGAACAATTCATCAGAATCTCTTGAGGGAGGGACCCAGGCATCAGCATTCTTTAAAGTATTTCATGTGACTCCAATATTGCAGCGTCAGGATGGAAGAAGTCTATGAAGTCATCGTGGGGAGGTTGCACTTAGCCTTGTTGAGGAGATCAACAAAGCTTCCCTATGGATGGACGCAGTCACAGTGAGCATCCTAGCCAGCTACACATCTTTAGTAGCCTTCATCAAGCAGGGAATAGGGCTGGCAAGATGGAGAGGACTGACCCAAAGCAGAGTTGGAAAGGGCAGAGGTCTGAGTGCCATCCAGAGAAGGAAGAAGCCTACCTCAACCCCTCAAGTTGTTCAGAGCACAAACTTGAAGTAGCCTCGCCTTATTAACAACATGAAATCTGTTTTGAAACAAGATGCTCCTATGGTCACAGAGATGCCACCATTTCCAGAGGAATGGCCACTGGATGGGGGCAGGGGTGTCCGTCTCTCACCTCATTCCACTATTTTTACTCTTTTGTCAATATCTTTGTCCATGCTTTTCACAGCATTTTTTGAGCACCTACCCTCAGTCAGGTACCTTGCCAGACACTGGAGACCTAGAAATGAAAAAGACTTGATTCCAGGCCAGGCACAGTGACTCATGCCTATAATCCCAGCACTTTGGGAGGCCAAGGCAGGTAGGTCACTTGAGGCCAGGAGTTCAAGACCAGCCTGGCCAACATGGTGAAACCCCGTCTCTACTACGAATACAAAGATTATCTGGGCATGGTGGCAGGCACCTGTAATCCCAGCTGCTTGGGAGGCTGAGGCAGGAGAATCACTTGAACCCGGGAGGCAGAGGTTGCCGTGTCATTGCACTCCAGCCTGGGTGTCAGAGCAAGACTCTGTCTCAGGGAAAAACAAACAAACAAACAAACAAGGCTTTGTTCCAACCCCTAGTGGATTCATGATCTTGGGTAGGATGTAAGACCTGGGCATCTGATCTCAGTTTCTTTAACCATACATTGAGCAAATGATGAAGGAAAATCTCTGAGGTTCTAAAAGGCCCTAATGTCACACGCTTCTGTGACACTCTGATGGGGGTTAAAAATGGAGAGATGTCTTTTGCCTCTTAAGCTGACTTTTCTAGGTGGCTGGTGGATCGATAATTTACTTTTTTGGTGTTTTGAGGCTGGTCCAGCTCTCCACTTCTAGAAATCAAAGTAAATCTAAATCACATGTCCACAACCAAAAATTTGGCTCTGACGAGAGACATGCATTCCGCTGAGCCTGGAGTAGATGTGTGGCAAGACCCAGCCCTTTCCCTTTCACTCTTCAGGGATCCCCATCTCCTGTCTGTCCCATCCCAGAAACAGCACCATGTAAGAACTTCTACCTAATTGAGGCATTGCCCTGTGCATTTCTACTTACAGAGCAGTCTGTTTATCTATGTTGTGGTGTTCCAAGCCCAAAGCCTGATCAGTTTGCTTCTGCCTAGCAGCTCTTAGAGGTGGCCCCTCCTCAGGAAGTTCTCATAGGCCGTTAAGGGTTTCTCAACGCAGAGTAAGAGCCTTCCAAATGTGAGGGAAAAGTTAGTGGAGTTCACTAGCTTTAGTGAAAGTTAAACAGTTAGATCTGTTCTGCAGGGCACCAATTCTCTTCTCTTTTATCATACAATTTCCAAAAACCGCAAAAGGAAGGCTATGCTATAGTTGGGGAAGGGGTGGCAGGGGGCAAGAATGTTAGAATGAAGCAAGGACTGGGTTGAAATCCTAGCTTCTTTACTTATAATTAGGCTGAGCCAATATGAAGTTGATGATATTTTTCCATTTTCCACCCACAAAAGCAGTAATTCCATGTTTCAACTCAAAATAACGATTAATTTACACTCTCTATGTCTCAGTTTGTTCATCTGTAAAGTAGGGGTAAAGTTATATATCTGCCCGGATTAAGAAGCTCAAATGAGATGAGTAGTCATGTGCCCAGAAAGCACCTGAACATACCCTTTTCATATGAAAATCGAATAGTCCACATCTACTACATGCCAGGCCAGTGGTTCAAAAATGGCAGCCAGCATTATTATAATAGGTTCTTTGACAACATTTTTTGACATCAACCTGGTCATCTCTCCTTGTCCTAAGCTCAGGCTGCTCCCAAGCCCATGTCACATCCACAGTGGAGAAGGATCTGATGTGGCAAAGGACCTGGGTGGTCCAGACACAGGGTCCTCCTGAACTCTTTTCTTCCCCATGTGTGGAGCTGGAGCAAGCCATGCCCTGTAAGACCCTCAGCCCTCCCTCTGCTGCAAAGGCGATGGTCACTCTTACCCCAGAGCTGATTTTGAGAATTAAAGGATTACGTATATAAAGTGCCTGGTACAGAACAGAGTAGGTTCTTTATCAGTGGCCTAAGGTCACTAGGACATGGGGTAGGGACTCTGATAGAAGCATAAGAAGGGCTCAGGGAGAACAGGGAGGTGGCGGAGCTGAAAGCCAAGAGAAGCTTCCTTACACACACACAGGGACACCACCCTGGGGAGAGGTTTCTGACTTTCGAGACCCTGAGGGAAGGGTCCCCTCCCACTAGAAACTGTACTGGAAAGTGAGAGAGAAAAAGTGAGCAACGCAGTTACCGTACCCACTGGCAACCAGATGCCGGATCCAGCAAAGGCTGGGAGCCTTAATTGGGGATTAGAGGCGGAACTTTATCGACGCACTGCTTTGGTAGCCTCATTAAAAGCTGGAAAATTCTCCATGCAGGTGCAATGATGTTTTGTGAAGTGACCTGGAGGCTGGCTAAGCCCTAGGGAGCATCCTGCCCCGGGTGGACACTTTGGTAGCTTGCCCCTCCTCCTGCCCAGTGTGACAGGAGTTTGCCCTTCCCATCTTCACTCTCCTGCAGCACCTGCCCTGAGTGACAGAGAGTGAAGACAGACTCACAAAAAGACTTGGGCCCATTTGGGGCCAGGTGATTGTGTCAGGCAATCCTGGTGTCCCCATATTTCTTGTCTGCCCAGGGGCCACTTGGGCTGAATTTCCACCACAAGTTTAGTAAAACCTCTTTAAAACTCAAAACCTAAAGGTTTATCTTGAAAATGCAAGGGATAATGACCCCTCAAGCTCTATGTCACATGATGCAGGTGGTAAAATCCATCATCTTCTTTGATTCTCATAATGATCCTTAAATGAGGCAGGACAGGAGATATTGTTCAGAGTTTGCAGAGGTAGAAATTGAAGCTTGAAGATGGGGAAGTT